AAAAAAAAAAAAAAACAAACAATCCAACATCCATTGATGAATTTTGCAAGTTGCAAGTTGCATTGCTTCGGATAGTAGCAACATTTCGTTGCATGTACAAGATACCCTTTAACCAGGATATGCTGAAAGGTATTTATAGTGCTTAATATTTCCGAACATTAAAATTATGTAAACATTAATATTTCAGCTTTAAATTTGAGCTGCAAGTTAAGAACTGTTGAGCTTGTTATGCCAGTCTATGAAATCTAGTTAATAATATTTATTTAATACAGTTAGGTGGAAGATAACATAAGCTACCTTCAATACAATTTAGCTAACTATGCTAATTTGTTATATTTGATTTAAATTGTTGAGTAAATTGTCAACTTTAGTTTGTCGTTTCAATAATTAACTTCGATCTTCAAGCATTCCATGACATAATCTTTATAATATATTTTAATAATTAGCAGGAACTTATAAATGTATATAAAGTATACATTCCACTCTTGATTTCCACTTTAATTTAAATAATAAAATAACAATAGAATAGAATAAAAAATTAAAAAATTCAAGAATTTCCGTTTCGATAAGAAATTTTAAATTTCTTTGAATACAAGTAACCTTCCAGATAATTCAGGTAACAATTGTAAGTGATTCTCATATACTATTTAACATTTCAATTTATTAATTGGAAACAAATCAGTTTCATTTGAATAGATAGTTGGAGAACCTTCAAAAAAAGTCAGATAACAATGCAAACTTTATTTTATTTAAATTAATATAAATATTAAAAATTTTTATTTGTTGTTTTAATTTCCCCATTTCAAACTTCAATCGTTCCATGGAAAATTTGCATAATTTTCTTCCATATTCTAGCAGCAACTTCAGAATTTTCCGCTAGAAATTCACACGCAGGTAATGCCAATTAGATTTACTTCATGTTAATTGTTATTTTTTCAATTTCCTGGTATTTTTCCGTTATTATTAAATATTATTATATTACATGCTCAGTTAGTAAATTAATTTCTTGCTTCTCTTACCGTTTGCCTTTGAAGGCCAGCAAATACTTTTTGTTGGCAGGAAAATTGTTGGACTGCACGGAGCCGGTGGCGCCGGCGCGCAACGGGAACTGTTTGTGGAAGAGCGGAATGCTGACATCGAAACCGTGACGCATTTGGAGTACACTCATGCTCGCCTTGGCCAGGATGGCTTCGCCGGCATCGAAGCCCAGCGAATGCTCGGCATAATCCGGCCAGGTGCCCGAATAGAGATTGAATATGATATGATTGCGTCCATTGTTCCAATGGGGCAGCCGGGCCAGACGCGATGGCACATTGCGCACATAATCCTCAGAGAGCGAATCGCGGTCCAGCGTATCGATGCCCAGCACAAAGAGGCAGGCGGCGGCGGGATCGCTGGTATGATATCGCGACTCCTGTATGGCAGTGAGAATCTTCTGATAATTGGGCGAACTGGGCGGTGCGGCGCCCAGCGAATTCAACGGCTCCGGCGGGTAAACATAGACCAGAAACTGATCGTAGCATTTGGTGAAATCGAAGCATGTCTCCATCCGACAAGCAGCCACCGGTGGCTTCCGCTTGCCAGGCGCAGCAACTGTCGCCACAGCGACCGTCGATTCATTGGTCAGTGGCTGACGCTGCTCGTAGCCCATGAAGCTGGGCAATTGTGCGTACGGTTGGACGCCCCCATCTTTGGCCGATTCATGTTGGGCGCGACGCGGACGATGTGGCGCCACTTTCAGCCGATAGCCGCCAAAATAGCAATAGGCCAGAAATGCACACGAGACGAAGACCAGTATATAACGCTTTTTAGCCTGCATTCTGATGGAGGAGGTCCAGCTGGTTGGCTGACTGGCTGGATGCTGTGTTAACTGCTGGGTGTAGCTGGGTCGCCCAGGGGTCTAGGGAGCTATCCACTAGAAGTTGAAGTTACTAAATTGGTTGCTTTGCAGGTGGGTCGGGGTGCAGGAGGAGTGGGAGTGAGTGCTGCTACTTCGTTTTCGTTTCTAATTTAGTCTAAGCGCATTTTGTGCTGCTTCTTATTTGTTATTGTTGTTGGTTTTGTTGCTGTCGCCGCAGAGGCAGCAGCAGCAGCAGCAGTTCCTCTCTCTCGCTCTCTCCCGCTCACTAGTAATGTTGTTGTTGTTTTTGTTGTTGTTGCCTGCGACGTCTTTGCGCGCAACTTTTCCATACACATTTCACTTGCATGTACTAAACACTCAGATATATATTGAACGTTTGACGCAACTTTTTTCGGTTATTTTGTTTTCATTTCTATAATATATTTGTGCATTTTGCTTGCTGTATATTTTTCATTTGCTGGTGCGACGAGTTCTCGGCGTCGACAGCGGCAGCGGCAGCAACGAGCACAACAGCGACTTGGAGGCAAACATTTCTTATGCTCGCACGCATTTGCGCAGCGCGTGCGACTGCATTGCACAATTCACACCACTTTTCCACTTAAACTAATAATAAATATAATTAATTTGTTTTATAAACAATGCGAACGCGACACAAACTCAACACGAATCATTTTCAGCAGCGGAGAGCCACTGACTGAGAGAGAGAGAGCGCGTGAGAGCGTTAACCAWCTGTCAAAACATTGCCAGAGTTGCCAAGCGCTGCCAGAGCCAGACAGACGTTAGCATTTAAACAAAATGTACAAAACTATTAAAATAAATATTATTGATATTATCATTTGTTTATTATTATTTATATTTGACTTATAAATTAATGATATTACTTTTACGCAATTATTCCCGAATTGTAGCTAAGTTTTTATCACGCTATATTGCACTTTCAGACAATTTATATTAATTTTTGCCGCACTTTTGATGCGCGCTCCCCTTGGATACGTTTTGAAGGCTCGGCGTGTACTGCCAGTGACATGCTAGTGTCTTTGGCCAATGAGCCTTGCTTGGAAATGCATTATTTTAACTCCTGGAAAGTGAAGACATGCGCACAGCGAACGCAACATTGTGCGTGCCAATAGGTGGCAACGCCAAGCACATACAACCGATCAGCTGTTCAGCAGATTCAACAACTCATGCTATTTTATTGTTTGTAGCGTGAGTGTGACTGTGAGGGGAAGTGTGAGAGCGAGTGTATTTGGGTGAATGTGTGTATGTAGGTGTGGGCAGGCGTAAACGTTTGCCCTCAAGCGAGGGGAGTTTGTCAAATGTAATTATACARCTACAACTACAACTACGACACAAATTCAGTTGCATTTTATTTATTGTATGGTCAAATTGATTACATTTACAAATACATGATTTTAACAACCGAACGAACACCCATACATATATACATGTGTAAATATTTAATTGTACCCTAGAGCAAATGATTGTTATTTGCATAAAATATATAAAAATAATTTTATTTATTAACGCAAAACATAATTAGCCCAAAGTGCAAACAAATACAAATACAAACAGAGGCTGTCCGCAGTCGGTTGCTCACGGCTGAAATTGCCAAAAACAAAAATAAATTTTTTTGGTCACGGCCTGGCGCATCCGCATCCGGCTCCGTCTCCGGGTCCGGCTCCAGCTCCGTTCGTCCTTTTTGGCCGCGCAATTTCCCGTTACAAACGCGTTTAGGCTGGAATTTCAATTATGCACAGGAATGCCGTCCGCGACCCCGCCCCATCCGCCTGCCTGCCCAGCAGCCTGCCACAGCCGCAATTATGATGTGCCCCACATAGGCAACAACCCCCAACAAAATATGCCGGGCAGCTGTTCCAAACCACAGCTTCTGCAACGGCTGCCACTGAATGTGCCTCTGCCACCGCCCACACTCCTGCTCCTGCATTGGCTCCTGCTGCTACTCCTGCTGTTACCTCTGCTTCAGCCTTTATGGTTTTATAAGTTGCCTGTTCGGGTTGACTTGCATGCAAATCAAATCAGCGCCATACTAATAAAAAATAGATCCTGCTGCACAAGCACAAACACAAGCACTCCCAGCATCCTGCCTGTCATCATATAAAGAACTCAGAGCTAGACGGCCGCCAACTCAAAACAAATTGCAGCCGCACTCAACTTTTGTGTGTAGAATTTAATTTTGTTGTCACAGCCTGCATAGAGACTCCGCTCTGCACTTACATTTCTTCACGTATACATATACAAAGGAAAAGTGTGTGTGGGATAGGGAGAGAGAGACAGAGTGAACATATGTGTGAGTGCATGAAGCAGATGCTCCTAGAGATGTGCAAAGCAATTTCAACTTTGAATTTATTTCTCATAAATAAAGAAACAAAAATTATATAGTCAATTAAAAATTATAT